TAAGAAAAAAATAGAAGCACAATTTCCTATCCTTTGTTACAAACGAGTTTTTATTTCACCTCTCCAACGGATAGGTACTCCAGCTAGTTCTTTATAATTTTCTCGCACATACTTCTCATTCAATCCATATAGAAATAAAGTAATATTCTGGTGTATTAAGGAAGCCATTAATACAATAAAAGTGGCTTCCGTAAACAAATGTAAGCTGATGTGTTTTATTTGGCTTAGGAAAAGTTCAAACTTATTAAAGTTCTGTAAGCAGCCCAGCTAAAGGTAAGCATAAATTAATGGTAAAAGATCCTGGATCAGAATATGTAAGTTATATATTATAACTTGTTCGAGAATTGGATAATGAGGAGTCGCTGTATTTGATATACAGACGACATAAGTGAAATACGGGTATCATTTCCCCCAACAACGCCTACCAGCTAACAAAAGCTCATAGTTGGTCATATGAAAATCACAGTGCGTCTGACTGCAGTGTTTGCCCTGACGTTTATAACAGGCCTTAGTTCTTCACATTTTTGTCGGACCCGTGCTGTGAATGCTTGCTCTAACTCCGTTTCTTTCATCATCCGTTACTGCATGGTTTTCACCGCATGAGGACGGACGCGGTATGTCGCACGCATTGTTGCTCTTGTGACAAGTTCGCCGACTGTCACACATGTGCTCAGTTTTATGTGTGATGGATTTGTGCCAAGAAAAGTACAGCAAAATCCATAGAGAAAGAAGGTGTCTTTGTTGATGTGCAAATGGCAGAACACCGAACCTACGTTTTGCGACATTAAGCACAATAGACGACGAGGTTGTTTTTTAATTTCTTATATGAGCTCAATACACTTAAGCTTCGCTTTCTACTATATCGTAAACGCAATAACATTTTATAAAGCAAAGCCATCTGTTTATGAACTGAAAGATATGCTTTGTAAAAACGAAAACAGCTTTACAGCATTCCACCGACCCGGTTGTAAAAATATTTGAAGTAGTTTTCATTAGATGTTCCACGTATTCAAAGCATGGTGGCGTGTAATGTTGTTTTGTTCTTATATGAGTCACATACAAATACCTTTTCCAGTTCCAAACCGTCTGTAATAAATTAAAACTCGTCCAAACTCCATTACTGAACTAATGGATAAGAACAGCTAGAAAAACGCTTTATTTATGGTTATACACACACACACATTCAAAATCCTGTTGGTCGTTTATAAATAAAGTAAAACATGCTCACAAAACTATGCATTAAGGGAAATAATCCATTTAATGACACAAGACAAAACCCAAAATAGAAGTTTTGAGGATCTGTTACACATTTTGCTGAAAAGTCTTCCCGGCTCTTGATTAATAGGAACCTTAATTTTATCGGAATTTTAGACAGAATATATATTATAAGACCAAAACGTTGTCATCTCAACAACTAAGGCTGGAGCATTCCAAAACAAAAAGATCCCAGTCCTACATGACCAACTGTTTGAGGTAGTGTTGAATAAAAAAACGAAATCTGTAAAACTTAGTTCTGAGCTCCCACGTAAAAAGTGCAGAGAAGGCACAGTAGTAGCCTCCATAACTATTGTGCAATCGGTTTCAGCAAATTTTTATGTTTATCGTGTGCTGATCTGCTTATAAAAGCTATAAGTTTAAATCATTATTTGATTGAGTAACTGGAGAGTAGGTTATCAGAAAAGGTTAATCAAGTCACTCACTTATTCATATTTTACTACAACGTGCAATACATACACGTTACTAACCGTATGTGTAGTTCTAACAATAGGTTATTGGCCAAGGAAGATTGCTAATTCCTTTCGTTCTACTTACCTTCATTCTGGGTCATTTCTCTAAGGTGTCACATATGCTTTCTTATGGGAAATACTACTGTAATGTAGGATACACTATTTAAAGGTAAACAGTGATTGATCTTTTCCACCGGGGACGGGGATTCAGGTCATACCTTGAGGATATAACATCCATATTTTTCTATTAGAATGACTATCGTTGACGTTGGTAGTACATGCAAACTAAGATGGATGACATTATAGAATTTTGTATAATGCTATCTTAGTCTAGAAGTCTTCAAAACCATCATTCAAAACAGTCTTCAGCTCTAGGAGAGGGAGAGATCTAGACTTAATAAAAGGCACTGTTTTTCGACCAGTTCACTCGCCACTTTTGTT